CATGAATTTTGTGGAATTTCGGTTGGTTCAGTTGTTACGAGACAGTAGGAATAATTATTTTAATGCTTTTCATAAAGCATTGCTATTTATGGACATCGTTCCAGATTTTTCGTAATCACGAGACTTTTCGTTGCGGTGGAAACAATATCTTTATTTCTTGCTTAAACTATTTCTTTAATCTAGCTTACTTTCTATCTTGATTTCTATCCAACATTTTATCTTTAATTCTGTTTTCTATTCTATCCATCCTTCAATATTAGTTTTCAATTGTATATAGAATCTACTATAACCTTGTAAAGTTCAAAAGCTCCAATAAATTCAGAATATTTTCGCATAAAATTCTTCAAATAACAGAACTTGTAAAACTCTTCGCAATTATAGGTTATTTGGGAAAAGATATCGTAATTGCACAATTGCTTGAATTCGATGAGATAAAGTTTAAGGCATTTGGCTAGAAAAAGCATTTGTTTAGAATTAATATATCAAATAAAACCGTTTATATCAATTAAAGTTCCCAATTTCACTCCTCAAGCAATCTTGCTAATTCCCTTCCCTTGTAATCATTCAGCACAACGATCGAACGATATTCGAAGATATCAGCACAGGAACTTGAAGCTTACAAACATCATTAGTCTATTCTCTCTCTCCCAACCCAGGTTGCAGGAAAAAACTCAGTAATCAGAAATATCGACAACGATACATCCATTTCAAACGTATTTTATTAAGTGAAACTTAAAGATGGAATCGAATCTCATGACTAATAAATCTAATGTAAAAATGGATACTGCGAAGAGTGTTTCCTTTTAGCACTCCTAAATTTATTTTGTGGAAATAAAGAAATCGACAATCTAATAAAAGAATTAATAAATATGAATTATCCGAATTCTTTTAAGATTTACCAACGTTGAATATATTTCAAAAAGAGGTTTTTGGGAAAATTATAAAGCAAGCTGGTTGGAGAACTGAAATTACGTTCAAAACATTACAATTCAATTCAAATTATTCCGGAGTTCATAAACGAGGTAAAAAATAAAAATTTTAAAATTTCAGATAAAATAACTCTCATCGGTTACTTTCCCTCTAAACTCTTACAATCAAATGCGTCTTATTCGCAAAGCAGATTTCCTATCCAACACCTTCAGTAAACAATATAACGTTTATTAGCAGAAGAATGTTACGCGAATCTGAGTGTATTAGCAATAGTCACTTGACGAAAGTAATTAATTATTTTAACAAGAACAAGTTTTATACATTTTTTTAGATGCTTTGCATTTTTAAAGGTTTCTCAAATAATTATTATATGATCTCATTGTTTAAGATAGAAATTAAAAGATAATAAATAAGAAATACAATAGAAAGAAAAATAGGCTATACGTGAGAAATGCAATTATGTACCGAATATTAAACCAAATTAATACATTAAATCCAGCAAAAGAAAAGTTATTAATACATATAATTTAATATTCATTTGGATTACGAGGCATGCTATTCATCAATTTTTAAAGTTTCAGGCTCGATTGATTTCCAGTGCAACTGGTAATTCAGATTCATTTTTGGAAGCTCAATTGATTAAGCTCAAGTCTTTGTGCAGCAAAAAAAATGATTCAATATTTTTTTTCGACTCTTTTTATGGGGACACACATTATCTTCTTGAAATATATGTATAGACATAGTAAAAGATAAGTTTTAAAAATTTCTAAATACATTTCGCTATTAATAGTATAGTATCTTTGACTAACGGGCCGAGTGTCAAATATTGTACTGATCCTTGATCTAATTGTTAACTACCATACTATATCATCTTAAAGTCACTTCATGTGAATAATGTTTTATGTTCCGAAAGTTAAGAATCTCAACCTCTTAAAAATGTATCGTTATACATGTATTCGGGAAACAATTGCAATTTGGTTAATAAACGATTTTTATCGAATACATGTATTTACAAAATACAGTCACACTTCTCTATAGTTACATTTTTTTTATAGTCACCCTTTTTAGTTATAATTAACTGTAATTAAAAAAAACCTCTCTCTATAGTCACCGCATTGACCATAGAGAGGTTTGACTGTAGTTAATGGATTACTTCATACAATGATTGTTGTTTTTATAAAAGGGCCGCTATTTTGTGATCTATAATCATGCGATCACAATACAGTCGGTTGTGGTTGGTTTATTACCGTTATTACATGTATTCATTAAAGAGAAAAACGTATCAACATGGTCAAAAGACAAAAAAATAATAACAAAGGAGCTTCTCTACAAATATGTAATTTGAAAACCACTACAGACAAATGATATTTCCGATGCACAGAAACAATAATTCGTTGACTATTTTCTCGGTGCATGCTATGAAAATGAATTGTTAAAATATATTTATATTTGTATTATATCAACAAAAAACAAATTACGAACAAGCACGCATTGGAAAAGATTGTACGGAACTTCGGAAAATTATAAATGAATCAAAAATCAGTCGCCAGTCGAGCAATTAAGGAAACAACAGTTAGAATAATTGACGAATATTCTGAATGGCAACAAAATTATTTTAAAATAATCATAAGAATGAACCAGAAGATTTATTGAAACGAATTGGACTCTTACAACACCAAAAATCTATCGAATCTAATATAATCGAAAATTTACCTAAATTCCAAAAATTTAAAGGCATATTTGAATTTAATAATAGAAATTATTCTGAACTATATTTTCGCTCCAAGAAAGAAGAAAAAATCGCGGAATTGGAAAAAGATGTAAAGTGTTAGAAGAAAAATACGAAAATTCGATGACGCAAGAATTATCGCTATTGGCGATTGACATGCTTACACAAAATTTCGAACAAATTCAAAAAAAAAGATAGAGAAATAGAAAAACTCTATTCAGATCGAGCAAACTTCGAAAAACCGATTAATCACAGGTAAAAAAAATTGAGCGTTGAAGACTTGAATAAATTATGCAATCGACAATAGGAAGGAGCAACAAGTCAAATATGACTCGCATAATCAACAATTCGATTTATTTCATCAAGAGGTTGAAGAAAAGGATGAAGAGATTAATGGACTTCGCAAACAGATTAAACAATATCAACAAAAACTCATGGAATTAGAAGAATCAAAATTTAAAGAACCTGAGAAAAAATTCAATGATTACCTGTTATTAATAACTTACGAATGTAAGCATACAATCAAATGCGTCGGAAGAAAAAATCCGTGGTAATAATTTTTCATCGACATTAAGAAACGATCAGGATCAATTTGAAATTGAAAAAAAGAGTTTGAGTTACAAAAACAAGAATTATAAAATCAAATAAACGTGTTTTGTGAGAATTTTGCTGCTATAAAGCAAGAAATTCAAAAAAAGATAATCGAAGACATTGAATCACATAAAGCAGCGTTTATTAAAGCTAAAAAAATTCAATGGAATGGACACAAAAAGATTAATTCTTTTGATTTTTCAAGCTTGTCAAAGATATTGAAAGAATTCAAACAGAAGTTGTTGATGCAGTCGTAAATATGACAAAGCAGGCAGACGGGTTCAATTATAAAAATATAAAATCTCTGACGAGAATGAAAAAATTGAGTTATATTATTCAACGTTTTTTCCGTTTTGGTGAAAATATTACTGAAAACTGTAAATTTAAAAATAAGCATAAAATGAATTTGATGAACAATTTATTATATTTCATACCCAAGAACTATGTATGCTTACAGAAATGCTTTCAACGCATCAGATGGTTTTACATGTATTACACCAATCCAAATACGCCGCTGCCTAGAATGCACGCAGCAGCTTTCATAAGAAGGAATGGCATCCTACGATCAAATTTCTCGGTGACATTATAATTGATCAACTAAACTAATGTCGAAAACCGCCTCAAGAAATGAATGAAGAAATCCAAGCACGAATCCATGAGCTTGTGCTTGAATTACTTAAACTTCGTTTTCGGATCGATACTCAAGAACCTATACCGAAATAAGATAGTTTAAGACTGTCGAGTCAATTCATGTTAGTCTAATGCAAGGACTCGATATTAAGGATAACGAAGAGTTAGAAGTCGATTGTGCTATTTTCCAGTTGGTGGCATATTCTTGGATGATCCCAATTCTTAGAATCGAAGAGTATATTTCAACGCTCATTTGTTAACAAGAATTAAGAAACACGACCAAATCGATCGACGTGACCGAAGCAGGGATTTACTAAAAATGCTTGGTATTCACTTTCAAAAAGATATCTTGACTTTTATTTATTCAAATTCACAGTTTATATGAAACACGATAATATGACGACCAAATTGTAAAATCCAAATTATTGAATTTTCTTTATTGGTTTGATACAGGAAATCATAATTGAAAATAAACTACTATAATAACCAAAAAGTCTAGAGTGGTCCAGAGTAAATAACGCAATTTTATTTTACATGAATTGGTACAAGAAGCCCGGTCACATCCAATAAATATAGCAAGCATTAAAAGAATAGAGCTAAAAGTTTTACTATATAATTCTATTATCTCTTTAGCGTATAAATTTAATTTATTAGAGAACTTTTAGATTAATTTAAAATAGTCATACTTGCTCCAAATTAATCATTTTTTAATTTTTTCATTAATTTTAAGGTAAAATTAAGAAATTATAATTTAATATACAATATTCTAGTTGCACATATTCTCAGTTTGTGTCTACTGTATTTTTAATACTATTTTTTGTAAAATTTGAAATACTTTATAATCATCAACACTAAAAGTAATTCTTGTATTATCAGAGCTCAACAGAGCGTGTTCCTATGTTTGACAATAGTTATCATTATATTGAGCGAATGACTTTAATTCATAGGAACCAAAAATTGGTCCATAATTTTTCCAGCAACCAATATTATGTTTTTTTTACCATAATTTTACTTATAAATCGCTTGGACTTATTCGAGTCAAATTGAAATAAAAAGCTATTTTGTGTGTCATGCCATTGATCATTTTAATTCCATTCCAATAGATTATATCCACCAATAATTTTTTCTGAATCTTTAACTTAATCGTAATTACTTTATTATCACAGAGTTGCCTCGTAATAATAACTTAAATCAACGATTGAGTTAATTTCGTATCTTGCGACTTTATCCATTCACTTATTTTATTGATTTGGCTTCGTGTATGTATTGTGGAGTCATTATTTGAAGTTCCGAATAGGTATTACTTTATGATAAAAGTCAACAGAATTTATGTGGAAGAAATGGACCAATGGTAAACATTGTTTAAGCGCAAATTTTAATTGAGTAAATTCATTTTGTGTCATTTCTTCACGGATTTCGTAAAATTAACATTCAATGAATTGTAAGTTTGAGCAATTTCCAATTCCAGAATCTTTTCTCAAATGTCAATTTCTTGAAGATTCAAATCATCCCATTTGAGCAAAGAAACTAACGCGTTTTCTTAACAAAATCGTTCGATTGAAAAATAGCGGCAGGATTTCGACATGCAATATCTGTGCAAAATTTCGTAAGAGTCGTGCTCGAATACGACTTGATTGATCAAAGAAAAACTTTCAGTTATCGATTCGATATGATGTTCCAAAAGAAGGTTTTGAATGTATTTAAGCAATTTATCAAGTACCAACTCATCCGCAGAATCAATAAGTTTAAAAGTGTCGGCACTCCATGTTCTTTCAAGTCGATTTTGCCACAATACATATATATGATTCATAATAGAATAAAATTTATTTACTGTAAACAATAAGATTTCAAAAACATGCGGGTGAAATATTTAGTTCCGGTTTCAGGAAGTGTGACAGCAAAATATTGGGATTGCGCCATTAAAATAGTAAATCTTACAATAGTTGAAATATCACAAAAATTATCCTTTTCGTAAAATTTGGCCAACTTGTTTGAATGTGAAGTCAATAATAAATCGGACATGTACAGTGGCCCGCATAAATAACGCACCATTCAAATTGCCGATCATTACTTGTGTAGTTCTTAACCATGTGAGAGCCGACAACAAATAGATCCCACCAATCAACATTGAACATGACGTAAGTCGGTTTTTTTTTCCTAAATACCGGTGCGTTTTTTTGCTCTGAAAAGAGCAAATTAAACTTTTTTTTCTATATAATAATTTAAAAATTAACATAATAAAAAAATTTCCCCCATACACAATGCAGCTTACTATAGAGCAACGGAGAGAGAGAAATCTAATAGCTTCATTCCATGGCCTGCCCAGAGTCCTGATCTAAATTCAATTGAGCATTTATGGAAAGACGAATTCGTGCACAACCAACACATCCCAAAAATCCGGAAGAATTGACGGAGGAATGGAATGAAATCGGACAGGAAATTTTAAAAAATTTGGTTGAAAGAACGCCGAGGAGAGTGCAAGCTGTAAATAATGCAAATGAGTATCCAACCCTATATTAAACATATGTATGAATAACCCTACTTTTGCTGAATAAATGATCGTAATTTATTTAAAGAGAAGTATCAAAATTCGTGACCTACATTGCTGATCATTTCCCGATTCCAAACTTTTGTTGAGTATGTATTTGATTTTTTGTGCAACTTAAAATGATCCGTCAGATTTCATAAGTTTAGACTCATTCGACTCGTCTAATTGAGACGAGCGTTCTGATGTTTATTTCGTTGAAATAAATTCAATAATTACGGAGATTTTGTGCAAAATAACGGCCGTTATAATATGAAATAATTTTAGATAGATGATTAGTTCTCGTGTCTTTAAATTATTTTTTATATATAGAATCTTTTTTACATGTAACAAAAGCAAAGTTAGATGTCTCACATTGGCACATAAAATCTTTAATCATTTTGCCCTAATTAACATCGGTTGTGTTTTTTAAGTTTCATACATCTGCTTTTTTTGGTCGATGATAACTCTTCGATGGTGAGCTATTCAAATTTCGCTATTTTTTCATTTTTCTTCCAGGTTAATATATTATTTATTTTCAAAATATAATCGGATTTATTCGGAATATATCTAATCGAGACATTCTAAGTATTTTCGGAATAGTTCCAACATAGTCGGAAAAAATATTCAATGAAAATTTTTATTGGGATCCGAATTCCATCAAACTCTATTGGAGTGGTAAACATCAAATACCTTCCAGACAATCAAGCTACTGTGTAATTGGTACTAAGATCCAAGGATATTTTGAGTTTCTCTGCGTGGAGAGTTGGTACGTGAGGACATTGCTTTTTCCATTTCTTCATTTGATGGTAAACTTTTACTTCGCCTTTGATTAATCCCGTTATACATCTTGCTTGCATCTCGCTTTAAATAAGAAAATAAAAAATCATTATTTTGATCAATATTTTTGTTTCGGCTACAGTAATTAAATTACCTTGTTGGAAAGTATGAACCCGAGGGAATAACTGGCCAATAATGCATTAGTCACTAATGAAAAATTAAATTATACAACACGCCGTTTGCCTTGAATCGAAGTCAAATCGCGAAATAAAATTAAATGATATTAATGTGGTGATCTATGCGACTGGATATTTGATAGAGTTTCCATTCTTGGGAATTGGAGCAAATTCTCTATGATGGGAAAGATTTCTCAGAGGATGTTCAAGTACCGGATAGTGAGAATTGGATGTTTGTTTTTAGGAAGATTGTGCCGGTATCTAGTCGTTCCCGAGATTTAGAGCAAAAGCGCATATTAATGAAAAGAATGCAGTTTTTTCATCTTAATTCGGGTGAGTTGGCCGGATTTTTTATTTATAACGGTTCGATCACATAGTTTTGTATTTTTATTGGAAGATTGAATACAATCCATAGTATGCATCCTAATATTTACATTGCACTTATTGTTTGTGATAATGGAATATATAAGATATGCGCCAAACTTTTTTCTGAAATTTATACGTTATTTACGTCTTGAAATAATATAAAATTTTAATTCCGTATGATAGTTCCGTGCGCATTTGTATCGGCAAAGTAATTAGATCCTAAAAAGCATAATAATTAGTTACAGATAAAAAACTCTAATGCCGCTTTTTTGTCCAAATTTTGGAGTTCCTTAAAGCAAGGCAAGCCGTTTAGCCGGTTCAACCACACATCCGCCACACGATTACATCACGTTTTGTTTGTTTTGAATTCAATGATTTGAACGATTTGATTGATCATAAAGACTCGAACTTAAAATGTTCCAATAATTTTTTCATCTGGTTGTTTTTACCCGTATAACGTCATTATTTTTAGTTCAATAATTTGATGTTTTTATTGTTTCTATCTTTGCTTGTAAATGATTAATTTGCGTTTGATTTATCACGCGAATATTGTCCCAAGTATTATTATTAAAAGTTCTATTGTTTTCCATACTTCATTATTGATAATTTTGAATCCATTAATTGCTTATTGTTATTATTATTAAAAAGTTCATATGTAAAAGTATTAGGGAGAGGAACATAAGATGTCATTGATAAGTTTGCTTATTTATATGCTTATGATTTATTATTTTGGAATATTAACATTATATGTTATATAAAAGAACATATAATATAAAATCATTCAATAAAAATGCCAAAACAAAAAAAAACACATCTACTCAAGAACAGATCCAAAGCCATTTCTAAGTTTTCAATAAATCTCTCCTTATTATCTTGATTCACCAAAATCATAATATTGATTTCTCACCATTTCAAATAATTCATTCATTATTAATCAATTTTTTTCAGCAACTTTCTCAGTTTCTAATTGAGATTGGGATATCTCTACTAAACTGTGTGACTAGTATATCTTCAATTTATTTTCTGCAAAGATTTCCTGAAAAATTTTCCATATTTCAAATATCAGAATATCAATATCATTACAAAGTTACTTATGAAAGATATGATGACATGATAACATATAATAATTGAAAAAATTACAATCACATTTCATAATCATGAGTTGTAATGCTTCTTTACTCTTTTGTAACCTTTTAGAAATAATATTTACTTCTTCTGCAAGAAGTTTTTGAATGGAAAAGGAAAATTTATGGATTTTAGCGAGGATTTGAGAGTTTATATTAGTAATAAAATTTATTTTTGATTGAAAGGAGACTTCTTTTGCTATTACCATCTTTTTTTTATTAAGTTTGAAAATTATATAACATGCTTCTAAAAAGATGATAATATAATAAGATACTAAAAAAAAGACAAGAAAATAAAATAAATATAATTACCAATAAGATTATATATAATAGATATTTTTGGTTTTAATTTGCTATAAAATAATTTAAGTACATTAGTTGAAGTTATTTGTAAAAGAAGTGATAAATATTATTATATTCAAAGAGTCTATTTCTTTGAATTTCTCAAGTAGTTTCTGAAATATATTTTGCATTTACTTGTATAGAATAATTGATTATAGCATACTGAACAAGATTTTTGCAGCTAATTTAAGTTATTTTGTGTATTACTCAAATTATTTTATCAAACATGCAAATTATAATATATATTTTTTTATTCATATTTATATTATATATATCATATAAAGAATAATATCAAACTCTTGCTCTTACAAAAAGATCAGAAAAAATGATTATAATATTATTTACTTCTATACTGCTTTAATCAATTAATATATAAGATGATCTCTAATAAGAAGCAAATTTTTTAATAATTTTTAGTATTACTAAAACTATCTCATTATTTTTATTATTAACTAAAAAAATATATACTAATATTCCAGTTATTATAATTATAAAAAGTAAATAAATACCAATAATATTTATTTATATTATATATTAAATTAATTAATTTTAGTTATTTGTATTATATAAGTTTTTTAATTACTCTATATTTGCAAAGTAAAAATCTTGATAGAATGATTTCTGATAAACTATTTGACTTGATAATTTTTTTGAGTGAGAAACTTATCTGTAATAAGATACAAATTTATCAGATCTAAGAGTTTTGGTTTAATATTAGCAATCTTTTAAGTTTTCAGATATTTAATATCTGAAAATTTAAGTAATTTTGTGATTTCTTTTCAGATAGTCTTAACAATTATTAGAGATTTATATTTCTTGACAGCTTCATTAGCTATTATATCTTTTATATATTTTAATCATTTTCACATATCACTTTCATCAAGAGTGTAACTATAATTAGATATATCTTTAAACTTTTCAATGCAAACTTTTGTGAAGCTAGTTAATCAGATTATTTTTATTTTTTTGTCTTAAATTAATAGAAGATTGCTTTCAAATTATATAAAATTTCTTAGAGAAAATATCATTTTTATAACTGCTTTATTATTATAATTTGAAAGTTTATATATATATATTCTTTTTATTTGATAGTTTATTTCTATTAAATTTTGTTCAACTATTATTATCAAATATTTATTTTTTATTGAATTCTTTAAGAAAAATTCAAATAATTTATTTATATCAAAATAATATTTGCAGAAATTCAACATGAATGTAATAAAAATCTAATATTATAGTAAGAGATATAGTTTTTAGCATATAGAAGACATATAACTGAGTTAAATAAAAAAAAATGTCATCTCTTTCACCCGTACACCTCACGGGTATCTCAAATAACATCTCACAAAATATTGAAACTCAAAACTGTGTTCCTTCTCAGCAAGAATTTAATGAAACTTCTCCTGGTCTTATCTCCAAATGTACCAGGACATTTATCCTGGATGAAGAAAGCCAAGATAGTGATTCTGAACATCCTTCTACCAGGCAAACTAAAGAAAAAAACAAGTGAAGAATTTCCTTCACTACGGAATTTGGCATCTCATCTGGTCATGATAAATAGCTTTCTCTCTCACATCAAAATCTAGATGCATCTTGTCATGCCTCTTACTATTCCCCAACCCCTTTTCCATCTTATCCCCATTACTCTCCCTTTCACATGTATAATTATGGTAATGAAAACTTCAACAACTCACCTAATCCAGAATCCAACAATGTGATTGATCGTCATCACATTAGGAGATCTCACACTACACAGCCCCCCAATCTAATCAGGAAATCTCTTCAGATAACTCCAAGTCTTCCACAAATTCAAAAGAAAAACTCTCATGAAAGAAATCTTCTTCCTATGTCAATGCCATTAGATATGCCTTGGGCAAACCAACTTATAACATCACAAAAGACTATGGTATCTTTCTTCAAACAGATAGTGACTTTCCTCTCATATATGATATTTCGCAACTTCAACTCATCCCAGATAACCAACTTATTTCCTCTTCTCATCTTTAATTTGATACTGATGCGTTCAGTACCAAGCTAAAATATATTCATGGCAAACATACCTATCTAGAAGTTGCTTTTGCTTCTGAAGAATCTCAACTGAAATGGGAAGATAAAATTCTTGTTATAGCTGGCAAAAACCTGAAAGCTCAAAGAGCTTTCTCTAATCAAAAAACTTTCTTCT